CCTGCCTACCAACATGGCGTCACCATCTTTTATTTTCTCCAGCACCAAATAAACACATTAAGCGGCGAGTTCAAGAAGCTGGAAAGACTTTGTATCTCTTCCACTCAGGCACCGGCGGACGTGGGCGTGGACACGCGTGAGTCAGACAGCAGTTGGAGTCCAGTGTGAAACGGAAATAAGTCTGTGACCCTTCGGATCACGTTGCCGTGTCGCTGCTCCGCTGGCCGGATGGCGGGCCCGGTGGCGCTCGGAGGGGCCGTCCTCTGTGCAGACACCGCGGACGGGCCACGTGGAATAACGCCACCATTTGGCATCGAACGGGCCAAACGATCGCCATTGCTCAGTGGCTCCTTCCCCCTTCCCAGCTCTGCCTTTCTCATTTAATTCACACTCCTTCTTATTTCTCACAGTTGACTTCTTGGGATCTGTGACTACCGTCTTCTCTGGGCCCCTCTGTACCTTCTGTACTACCTGAAACTCTTACTAATAGATAGTAAAAAAACAACATGATGCTCATTTTTCCCTTTCCTAGGCAAATGAAAGAGTCCAGCAAGCCCACTCCAAACCTCTGAACCTCACGACCCCGGCGGGTCACCCACGCCCACCCAGACACACCACCTGTGATCGCCACTGTCTCCTCGGCTGCATCTGAACGCCATTATTCCACTTTAAAAGTCCACAGCTGTCTTCCCCTCCAACCCAATCTGACTCCATCTGATAAGATTTCAGAAACACTCTCAATGCCTCTAACGCCTACACAGTGTTGCCTCTGAGCACCGCGTGCGGAGGTGCCTGCGAATGCTCTTGAACCTGTCGGACATGGTCTATTTTCAATAATCTTGTAGCTTTTTCCCCTCTTTTCTGGAACGTCACAGGTCTCTATGTGTGTGCTTATTCTTTGCTTGTTTATCCAGTGCACAAAGTGTCTTTCCCCTGAATGCCTCGGGGCGCCATGCACTTGATTTCCAGGTAAGAGACAGAAACAGGTGAGGGGAGCCCTGAGGTGAGGAAGCCTGGGCGAGGGAGGGCAGCAGTGGCCAGGGAGAGAGGAGGAACCCGCACACTCTTCTGTTGTGATGGACGACTGTGTGTGTGTTTTATCAGCTCGCATTTAGGAAATTTAGGGAGGTAAACATACTTAAAACATGTCCTATCTAAACCCTTGAATGGCCACATGTATTAGTGTCACCGGCTAGAAAATTTCATTTTAAATCTCTTTCTAAAAGTGGTGGCAGGGAATCAACCTCCAACAGGAAGAAAAACTAGACACCCTCACCAGACCCCAACCACCTAACTGGCCATCCCTAACTGAGGGTCAGTGCCAAGGCTGGGAATGCACAAGGCTCCCGGGTACAAAAAAGTCCTGCCACACACCAGTCACTCTCCCTCACTCTGCACACGTCGCCTTCAGTCTGCACAAAACCCAGCGAGGCAGCTACAATTATCCTCTCTTTACAGATGAGAAGCTGGAGCCAGCAAAGCTAGAGAGAGGGGCAGTGGCAGGATTCACACCGAGGACTTCAGACTCCAAAGCTCATCCTTGTTTCTCTAAATCAGGCTTCCTGGCGACTTACAAACTCCCCTGGACCTTCACCACGGTTGCCACGAGACGCTACCCTCTCTTCATCATCATCATCGATAAATATTTATCAAGGGCCCACTGCCTACATGGCTTTGCTCTTGTTTCCACAGCAACACGCTGTCAGAGAGTCATGGGAGTATCCTGTGCTTAAAAGAACGATGCTGTAATGCCCCGTGACGGTGGCTCTGAAAGGTGATGGCTCCTACGACCGAGGACGCCTCTCGGCTGGCAGCTGGGAACCTAAAGGAGCTGCGCTGGGGACAGGGGGGGCAGAAGCCAGGAGAAATCAAGGGGAAGAGACAGCAAATGGGGTTAAAACCAAAAAAGATGGTCTGCTTTCACTAGGAATGTGTTTGCAGCGGTTGCTGAAACGGAACCCAGGCCAGGTTTGCCCATGAATGGTTTCTTGTATTAGGAAGCAAATCAAGTGATCCAGGACAGAAAGTGAAATTTGCCGCTACTGCTAACAGTTCCCCAGAGGCACCTGGCAGTGACCGAGTTAAATGGCTACATTGCTAACAGCTGTGGCCTCAAGTCAGCCCCCTGGAGGACCCATTCTCGCCCTCAAGGTATGGATGCTGTGGGGGGGGGGGGGGGGGGCCTTATCTATTAGACTGTTTCCCTCTCCCCCCACCCCAATGCAGGTTTTGCCACACTCTCACTGGGCTGATTTTTGGTGCTTCTTTTACCATCATTCCTTAGAAAAATCATCCTGACTCATGAGACACATCTTGCAGTGAGGAAGAAGGACCCTGCCTTTTGGTGACAGGCTTACACCGCTGACTTTTGGGCACTGTGACCAACGTGTCAAAGCAAAACATGTCACCCCGACTGCGTCCCGAAGGTAAGCTTGCAAATTCGAAATTGCTCTCCAGACTGGGAATTTTCATATTGAAAAACTATAGAGGGCACACCACTGAATTTTAAAAATGTATTGTTTACCCAAACTTGACAAAAAGTTTTAAAGAAGCTATGTTAAAGGAAATCAATATATTTGTTATATTTATGCTAGATTTGGATTCCACCAATTTCTACCTTTAGGAAAAAAATGTAAGAATATAAGTCCAGTTTTAAAAGTCCACATTTGTGGCAAACCTGCGTCTACAAATGCAGATATTCGTGAAGGAACCTGGGGGGAAAATACCATCTAATTTACATGGTCTAGTTAGCATGCAACCGGAATGAATAGAGATATATACAGAAAGTCCCCATTTTTACAAACGACTGAGGCTTACAGCACACCAGGCCTTCAACACAGCCGAATCCCGCTGGTCTACAGAGCCCTCGGAATCTACTCAGTCACTTGCTAAGTAGATGCCGTAGTAGGTTTGCAAGGGCGCCCAGCTCCGGTGGAACAGGAAAAACACACACCGTGACTTCACGGTCGACTTCCTCCTAAATCGTACTCCAGGATTGCTTTTTCTTTCCCCTGTGTTCCAAAGAGCAAACAAAGAAAAGGTGCTTGCTCTTCACACTTCTCTAATGTTTTAACAAAAGGCTGCTGAATAAACACATTACTCATTTAAAAATTGAAAAGAAGTTCTATTCCTGAGATGAAAGCAGCTCGATTTGCATGTTAACAGTTGTGGGCGAGCGCCACCTGGCGGGAGCATCTGGAAGCTGTCTGCTTTCAGCAGTGCACTCGTCCCCGAACCCAAACGGTTTCACCGCCAGCTACCCAAGAACGGATTGCATGAGACCCGTGACGGAATTTCTTCCTTTTTTTCTTTCTGTTGTTTTTTGCCGCGGGATCGTGAGTACCATCAATGTGGGCCAGGTCGGAAAGGACTTGGAGGATAGGAAAACCTAACTCACCAATCATGCCCGGGTCTCCAGGTCTGTCATAAGCATCCTTCTTCCCTCCCCTCCCTCGCACCCCTAACGCAGACCCAAAACCAGGCAAACCAGAATTGAGCCCCATCTTCAGAACGGTGTCCTGGCTGCCCCTCGTCTCTCCCTCGCTCACCCGATCTTTCAGCGTCACACACCGCAAAGGAAGCACCCGAGGTGTCTAACTTCTCCGCCACGGAAGCAGGCTGTCCCTTCACCTAAGTCCCACATGCAGTTCCCGTTTTTGGTTTGGAGCAAGGGAGACCCCGTGGCATTTCCGACGGAATGTCACCCCAGCGATTCTCAACTTCAGAAGCAGCCTGTTCATAGAGGTAACATTCCCCCAAAGCTCCTTTGCATCTGCCTGTCTGTCTTTCTCTTTTCCTTTCTCCTCCCTCCCTCCCTCCCTCCCTCCCTCCCTCCCTTCCTCTCCCTCTCTCTCCCTCTCTCTCCCTCCCTCCCTCCCTCTCTCTCTCTCTCTCTCTCTCTCTCTCTCAGGGTGATGATATAATGGGCACCGCTGGTAGCCAGCAACCCAAAACCGAGCCTTCACTAAGTCCCACTTGCTTCTCTCAGCCTGTCTCTGTGATTCCAGAGGCCTCCCCTCAAGGTGTCACACCAAAGCCCATTGGTGCTATGAAACTTCAAGGTGATTTTGAACTTGGAATCATACCTCGGCCACTTCCTCCTATCTCTCCTTCCCGCCACTGCTCTTTTGGGGGGCTCAGGACTGGGAGCTGCCTGCGGTGGCATTTGGTGTGTAAGCCCCCCAACTCGTGGGGGTCTCTTGTGCATGCTAACGCACCATCAGGAACACACCAGGGCAAACCAACCACCACCACCCCACTCTGAAAACGGCCTCTGCTCACCTCCTCCCCAGGATCAAACCCAAATGAGTCCCCCAAACTTTTCCGAAGCTCACAGGTCAAAGCCACTCTACGTGGAAGGCCTTTAACAGGGGCGTCCATTTGCTCCGGGTAGAGGGAGGAGGTTTGCTGCCAAACTCGTTAACACAAACACCCACAGGTGCAACTGGCAGTAGCCTAAGGGCCAGCTTTACCGGGCGCAGCCTGTTCGAAGGTGGCCTGGAGCTTCCTGTGTATCCTGGCGGAAAAGAAAAGCCACCGCCCTGGAAGCCTCGGCCTGCGGGCGACCAGTCTACCCCAGGAAAAGCGCGCGCTGCCCGAGACGCTGCCCGGACGAGAACGCTCCACGCCGGGCGTCGCTGCCGCTTCTCATCTCGCCGCCCCAAACACTCGAGTGACAGATTCCGACAAGTGGGAGGTAGCAAGTGGAAATACTGGCAACAACCGCGGAAAGTTACTCCAGCCCCGGGGGTTGGGGGGTGGGGCGGCCGGAGAGTAAAGCGGGGAACTTCGCCAGAGGCAGGCTGACGCGGGACGCGAGGGGCCCTGGCCGCTGCCCCGGGCGCTCCTGGACGCGGCTGCGGGCGTCCGGGCAGGACCTCCGGCTCCGGCCACCGGGACCCGAGCCCCCTGCGTACGCGCACAACTTTCTCCTCCGAGGGTCCCGTGGCGGGTGCCCGGGCGCCCCGGGGAGGAGTGGGGAGCCGGGCGGGCGCACTCACCTGCGGCGCTCTGTGCCCCGGCGCCGGGCAGCGGCGGCAGCTGCAGACGCAGGAGCAGGCTGAGGGCGAGCGCGGCTAGGCTCGCCATCCGGGCGGCGGCGGCGGGCGGCTCAGCCCCTTTCCGCGGGGGCCCGGGCCGGGACTGGGGCGGGCGCAGGGCAGCCCGGCATCGCCGACGCGGCCGCGGGCTGGGAGCGCCCTGGGCGCCCGTCTGGCTCCGTTGGGCTCCCGGAGCTGGCGCCTCTGCGCTCGAAGCCGAGGCGCGGCGCGAACTGAGGCGGGAGGCTGGGCGGGGGCGGGACGTACGGGGCGGGGGGCGGTGTCCCCCGAGTCCTAACGCCGCCGCCGCCGTTGCCCGCCCGGGCGCTCCGCCTCGGCCGCGCACACCCCCTCCCGCGCACGCCCGCGCCTGGCACACGCCCGCGGCTGGCACACTCGGGCTCCCCCGCTCACCCTCAGCGGGGTTGGCCGGCTCAGGGCCTCTCGCAGAGTCACGCGCCTACACACGTCCCCACCCCCGCAGCGACTCGTGCACCCCCATGCCCCGCAGGGTCCCGGCCTCTTCGCCCCGTGCCGCGCCACGCAGCCAAGCATCATCCGCCCGGCTGGGGCGCAGGTACCGGGGGCGGTGGAGGGAAAGAGGGAGCAGCCGTTTGAACTCGGAGTGGGAGACAGGTGAGTGGGGGGTGGGGGGGGACGGGCGGTAGAGGAAAAGGAGGGAGGTGGTCAGGTGAGGGGGGGGCGGGGAGGGGCATCTTCCCTAAACTGGGGCAGGCATCTGCTGGCAGGGTCTCAAGCACTTCCTGAGATGACAATTTTATCCACGAGTCGCCACCCCCCCACACACACACACAGGACACTGCACACACGCACACTCTTTCGGGCTCAGCCTGACCGCTGTCGCCTCATCCCCCTCCTCCCACCCCACCCCCCACCTCATCAGCCGCCTCGGTATTCCTCTAGTTCACCTACATCCTCCCCCTGTCCTCACCCGCACGCTGTGGGGGCAAAGACAGCAGGAACCCTTCCCCCCCCCCCCCATTCCCTTCCTCCGGCGGCAGAACCGTGTAGCTTTTTCCTCTTTCTTCCCGGTCTGAACAAAGACCTGGCTGGGGCTGAAAACCATAGATCAGAGTCAGAGCTGTCCCTTTCGGCCCACAGGCTGAGGATCTCTGCTCCGCTGGGGTCAGGGGGTCTCATGGGTCCCGGCGGGGACCCTGGGCTGTGAGAACCGGGGACAGGGGCGCCTGGGAAGTACTCAAGGGATTCTCACTGTGAACCTGGCCCAAACTCACTCCCCCGTTTCAGCACAGCACCCCAGCCCCAACATTCATCCTTGCTGGGATTCCGAAAATTAGACTGGACAGGCTATGGGGGAGAAATAGGAAAGTCAGGCATGGCCAGGGTTTCCAGAAGAGGGGAGCTTCAGCCCGAGCTGCTAAGGCAGAGAGCGCAGGGCCTCTCTCCCGGTCTCCACTAGGTGGAGTGGAATGGCCCCTTTGCATGGAGACCCGTTAACTCCCCCCACCCCACACCTGCAATCCTAGGCACAGGCTTCCATCCTTCTGGCTCCCAGCACTACAGCCACCTTCAAAAGGTGAAGGGCTCGGACTGGCCTGTTGGAATAGCCAATGTGTCCCTCACAACAGAACTGCCAGAACTCAGAGGGTTCTCCAAGTCCCGCTTCCCAGGGCCCTGTCTGGGGAAAATGAGACTGCAGGGGTGAGGTGGAGGGGCTGAGAGGACGACCTTTCACTGGCTGCTCAGCGATTCTTAATACTCTACAGTTGCTTACGGAGCACTGAACCGCGTGCCTGCCTCTGTGCCGGTCTCTGGGGACGCAGAGATGAATGGCCCTCGGGACATTTGGAATAGGAGGTCCCTTCTGCTCAGAGCTAACCTGCTGGCTGCTTCCTAACACTCACCCAAAGCCTGAGGAGAGGCCTGCCCCGGCCCATGACCCATGACCCTTGACCCTGGGCACGACTGACCCCAGGGGACAACCCCGGAGAGCAGGAGGTTTCTAAACCACTAAAAAGCTTGGTGACACACTTCTAACTTGTCCCTGCTCCCTTGGGCTCCTCTCCATTCCCTCTCTCAAGTTTTCCCAAAAGTATTTTTTTAATTTTATTTAGTTATTTTTCAAGTACAGTTTTTTGTCTATTTTTCCCATCCCAGCCTCCCCTGCCCCTTGCTCCTAAAATAGAAGTTTTTATAGTGTCCTAAAAACACATACCCACCTGCACCCCACTGAGCCCTCCCACTATTTATGGTACACTGTTGCCCGCCAAGCTTCCTGGTCAGAATGGGGCTGGAGGGGAGTGGGGACAAAGGGAACGGAACTAGGGGCACAGGCCTGGTTCCCGACCTCAGCAGCTGCGGCATCAGGCTGGCCCTGCATCGGGCTGGACCTGCCCCGGGTCCACCATGGCCCCCTGTGCTGCCCCCCCCACCCTCTGTTCTTTCAGTAGCAGCTACTCTCACCTGCTGTCCAACAGAACTCCCCATGCTCAGCCCCGTGGGTGAGCTGTTGCACCTGCTGCTTTCTCTGTCTGCAGGGCCCTTCCGGCAGCAACTCCCAGGTAAACTCACACTGGTCCAGAAGGCTTCCTGTGAAACTTTGGCCAAGGAGCACTGCCTGCCCAAGGCCTGTTGCCAAGGCCTCGGGGCTGGCCCCTGTGGTGATGCTGTCTCTGCACGCTGCAGAGATGTGAGTTCTCAGAAGGCACCTGGGCGTGTAATGCCGGGCTGCTGGGTGGTGGAGGGAGAGGGCTGGCTCAAGGCCACAGATGCCTCCAGCCAGGGCCCCCCTGAACTGGCTTCTCAGGGAGGGGAGAGGGACAGCAGCGTCTCCCACCCTCCTTCACAGGAACCCAGTGCTAACAAGAAAGGCAGGTTGCTTTCCTGCCTGTTCCCAGCGCCCTGGGGAGCTCAGGGCTGGGGCAGGGGGGCAGGGCCTGGGGTGAGCTGTGCCACGCTGGAGAGGGTGAAGTGACGCTCTGCCCCTTTTAATTCCTCCAGGAGCCAGCCTCCTGTCCTTGGGGGACTCGGCCCTTAACCCTCTGGAACCTTTGGCAAGACCTCTCTGGGCCTCGGTTTCCCTACCTGCACAATGGCTTCCCTTTCCGCTCTGATAGGGGCCAAGACGGAAGTATTCAAACGTTTTAGCTGCAGATCTCTCAATCCCAGCACAGGGGAGACCTAAAACTTGGGGCACCCTTTGAACCACAAGTGAGCTAGCAGTCCGCCACGTGCCAGGGATGGCAGAGCCCTGGGCTTGCAGCTTGAACGATGGGCGTGGTCAGCGTGGTCTTTGCGCCTCCCCACCCCCAGTGCGGCTGACAATGTGGTGGGGAAGACTAGACAGTGAGAAGGGAAGCAAAGGCCCGGAGAGGCAGAGGTGGCCTCTTTCCGTCTCCCAGCCCCTCCCCCAACCCCAGGGACAGCCAGCCCTCCGGTGGGGAGCAAAGCACAGGGCAGGGGGCAGACGTGTGGGGCCAAGGCACCCCACTGCCCCGCCAGGAAAATCGGGTGATGTAACTGCTGTTTTGTCCCCGTCTCACACATGAGAAAACCGAGGCTGGAAGAGGGCGAAGACCCTGTGTGAGGAGGTGGCCTCAGAATGACCATTCCATTAGCGCCTTCAATCTTGTTAATGGGATGCCTGGCAGCACTAGCCATTTAAATTTAAAACGTAGAAATTCGGTTTTTCTGCACACTAACCACCTTTCAAGTGCTCAGCAGCCAGGTGTGGCTAGCGGCTGCCACACCGGAGAGCACAGATAGAGAACATTCCCATCCTGTTCAATCAAGCTGCTCTAGAACAGAGGCAGCAAACTACTTCCGGTGGGCCAAGCCCACCTCCTGTGTTTATAAATAAAGTTTTATTGGAACACACCCTGCATAGGCGTTCACACAGTGCCGGTGGCTGCCCTCTGCATTTCAGCGGCCGAGTTGAGTAATTGTGACAGATCCCATGGCCCCCAGTGCCGAAAATATTTACTGTCTTGGTCTTTACAAAAAAAAGTCTGCTGGCCCCTCCCCTCCAGGCAGCCTCACAGCAGCGCCCAGCGATCACGGGTGGAATGCTGGTTCCCGAAGTGTGGTGCTTGGGCCAGGCCTATGAGCACCGCCCGGAAACGTGTCAGAAATGCATATTTCCAGGCCCCGCCCCCCGATCTACTGAAACCTAAACACTGCGGGTGGGGGCCCAGGGCTCTGTGTTGTAACCCGCCCCAGGGGGGATTCTGATGCAGGTTCAAGTTGAAAACCACTGATCTGAAACACCCGTGGAAGGACTGCCAACAAGAGGCTGGCACAGGGAAGGCGCTAATGGGCTCCCGTGGGAGCGGAAGAGTTTGGAAAGGCACCAGGAGAGCTGTAGCCCTTTCGCTGCGGGCCCCTCCGCAGCAGAGGAGCCTCAGAGAGCCCTTCGGGGAGGCCGGGGAGGCCGGGCCAGCCTGACGGACCTGGCACCAGCTGCCTCTGCTGTGCCCAGGCCCCGCCCCCCGGCGGCCCTGCCCCCGCCCCCACGGAGTCGTCGGCACATTTGGAGTTGTCTCCACGCATAAATTCATGGACCAGCTGTCTCTTTTAATCTGGTTGCAAGATGAAACCATTAATAGATGTCAGACACATTGGCAATGATCTCTTCATTAATTATTTCCTCCTTTCTGAGGAAAAAAAAATTAGTAACAAGCAACCATCAATAATTCAAAAATACAAGTTAACCTTTCTATTAGCAGAGTGGCTTCTGCACACACCACGACTCTTTCAGAGCCAGTAGCTCCGACTTGAGTAATGTTTTTATGGCAGGAACATTAATGCTGTCTGTCAAGACACACAATTATAAATAACCCAAATGCAACTTAGAAACCATAAGTATTTTTCAAGTGTAACCTCACGAGTCAACCATTTTGTTCTATAAAAAACACATTGTCCAGTGATGTTGTGACCAAAGCAGGACTTTATGAAGGAACTATGTACCCGCATCTTCCAGTGTATAATATGCACTTTTTTGGCCCAAATTTTTGAGGGAAAAATAAGGATGTGTGTTCCACATGGGTAGTACTAATTCCATATCTATATAAATGTTTTTCATTTTTTTATGCTTATGCATTAAAACTGTAACTCTAGAAAGGAATAATGATATAATATGATAATAAATGCTAAAATTCTTTTACAAAAAAAGCAAGCATCTAAATATAAATAAATAATTGGATGAAATCAATTCAA